GTGGTGCATCTATGTATGTATATATATATATGTGGATCTATATATCCACATATATGTGGATATGTGTGTGTATATATATGTATAGATGTTTTCTGACAGCAGAGAGCAAAAGGGGGTCATGTGGGTGTTACTGGAGTAATTTTGAGGTTTTATCTACGTAACCGAGCTAGATAATTTTTCACTTTGCTTGAAATTTAGTGCTCATACTCCTTGTCTCACTCCAATCTGGTAACAAAGATGAGAAGCTAAAGAGGTTTTTTGTGCGATTTCTCTTTTGTTGTGCTTCATAACCTTGTTGTCAAGGGAGCCTTTTTCCTTGTGCACATGCACGGAATTTGGTGAATCCCAAAAGCAAGATTTCCTGCACCTGGGTAGAGGGCTACAGCACATGTACTCTAGATCTTGTACTTCCCAGGAATGCTGAATTTATCTTGTATTTCATGCACAGCATGCAAGTGCACATTTCCATATGGTAAGTCCATGCTCTCAACTGCATTTGAAGGTTAAAACATCTGGAAGCAGATGGGTACCCCCAGAACAACTCATGCAGTATATTACTACCATCTTTCATAAGTATTTTGCAGAAGTAGGCAACAAGACTCCTGTGGGGATAAATTCATTTGGTGGAATGAGCCTGTTTGTAGCTACCTCTTTCCCAAAGAGCTGACTGGTCCTTCCCTCCTCCTGTCACCATGTGTGCCTTTGCTGCAGTATCAATTCTGTGTCTGGGAGAGGTGACAGGGAGGGGCCCAGGGCAGGATATCTCTGGGCAAGATGATTAAATATAGGTTGTTGCCCTGGGTTTGCTCTTTGCTTATGTCTGAGAAGCTTTTGAAAACAGGGTGACTGGATGGAGGCTGCAAACAAGATCAAATCATCCTGGAGGGATTGCTGTAACCTGTGGACTAGAAATCCTTGTTTTTAACAGGAGTCTTTCTCTCTATGCATGTTTATGCAAAGTAATTCCTTTTCTGGCAATGATTGCTTGTTGCACCATTTGCTACACTATTCCTGTTGTTTGATTTCTTTTTGGTTTTCACTTGTATTGGACCTTTTCCTTGCTATTTGGATTACTGCTGGTTTTTCTTGTTTCAGTTGATACTTATCTCTATTTTAGGTCTGGTGTGTATAATTTTTATTTTTTTCCATCCTAGTGTTTTCAGTTTTTATAGCTCTTTTCTGTTACATCAAAAGTCAACAGTTTGATAAAGTTCCAACTGTTCTAGCATATGTAGTCTGGCTTCATTATCTCCTGTTGCCTTAAACTGTAATCTCTAAAAAAAATTTACCAACAAGCATGCCAATGTGCATGAGGGGTTGAATGGTGTAGATCTGTGGGTGTTATCTGGATTTTGATATGCTGAAAATACCGCTCTCATTTTTAGGGATTAGTGAATACAATTTGTGTGACTGTACAGATGCTGACAGGTCAGGTGCCTGTTATGTGACTTTAACCCTCAGCTCCTCAGACAGTTGGTGGAGATCTACTTAATGTCATCACAAGCATTTTTAAGCAGGAGCTATCTCATCTCACCATTCATACCTGCACTAGACAGATGAATTACGCTGGTAGCTCCACTGAATATTGACTGTATATGTGTATGCATGCATACACACTGTGTTGTGTATAAAGGGAGTGACTAGCTTGTGTGACTACACAGGCTGTGCATGTCAAGTTAGGTAAAATGAATCCTACCCAAACATTCAAAACTTTAGTTAAAGCTATGTCCAGATGAAGCAGGAGGCAGTCTTTGTCTGCTATCCCTGCTCAGAACCTTCACTCTGATTTTGCTGCTTTCTTCATCTACTGCTGCCACTAATGACTCTGCATTGCCTCAAGTCTGGTCTGTGAGTCTTGAGATCAGTTGCTTGTCTTTATTTTTCTGTTAATTACATTACAGTTCTGGGTTGAAAATACAAGTGCTATACTAGATAGGACAGAGTGGACCCTTAGTGCCCAAGGACGTGGCATTTCCCTCACTATTCTTTTTGTATGAAGATACAAAAAATATTGAAGGGAGATGAGCTGCACTGATGCTACAGTTTTGAGGTAGTGCTGCAAAAATCTATTAAACAGTTTTGTTTAAAAGCAGCAGATAAAAATTTGATATATATTCATCCAGGTCACTCCCCTCTCCTCTCTCTTTTTGTAGTCCAAGTGGGTTCACTGTCAGTATTTATGGCACAGTCCAGAAGCAGTTGCAGTGGTATAGCTGAAGGGGCAGTATGGGAGTAAGACTGACTGTGGAAGGGAATTGCTCAGGCTGGCCTTGCTTCTACCAGAGAGTGTTTTATTTGAAACTAGGCACTGTGGACAGTGCACAGCTACTGGCAAATTAGTTATTAACACTCGGGAGAAAAATGTGAGATTTCCCAGGCTCAAAGAAGAATATAGTAGACCTCAGAAACTAAGATATCTGTGACAAGAGTGAGCAAAGATAAATATATGGAAGTATTTCTGTGCAAGCCACATGGCACAGAGTAGGAGTATTCTGCCTTGAAAGAGGTGACCAGACAGAAGCATGGAAAATACTAATAGGGGCTTGAGGTTTGTTTTCTCATCTTCCATAAGAATTAGGTCACATAAAATAGATCTAGCAATTGGCAAGTTTAAAACAAAATTTGTGCAGTGAATAATTAACCCTTGAGACACAATACTGCAAGTTGACAAAGGTATAAAACTTTCTGGTTTAGACAGACATTCCTGAGAGAAGAAATATGCTAGGGTCTTAAGGATCTGGGAGAGTAACTTAGAAGTATCAGTATATTTTTGCCCTATTCTTTTACTTTTCCCTCTGTATATAAGGCCTGTGGGGCACATGAACCTGTGGTATGACCCAGTCCAGCTGCTATTTTCTTCAGTGAAAAAAACAGCTGCTGGCAATTGTATGTTGCTCTGATATCTACAGTAATATAGCTGTTCAAACAAATCTTTTAAGTTGGTAGTACACCAGCAGTCTGGTCAGTAAGCTTTGTCAATATTTGGTTTACTAAATAATTTTTACATTTAGCTACATGTGGTTTTATGTGCCCTGAAGAATTCTGCTGATTGAAATGATTGATACTTACATGAACAGGTCTAAATTAATGAAGAAGTAACAGTGAAGCATTCTAGATAACTGGTTTTGTGCTGCTGCTGCTTCGTGTTTCCTTAACTTGTGTGAAGATTAATTAGAGGCCAAGACTTCCCTTTTGATTTCTTTTAAGTAGCAGATGGACCTCTTCATAAGATTGTCTCTCCTACTGGTCATGCGTGTGTCTGTATTGGTAGACAAAACATTTAAAAACTTAGTTTCCTGGCAAACTGAATGTTAAAGATTCATGCTGGTTGTTGACTAACATGATAATACTGGTGGTCTCATCCTGGCTTGGGTTAAGAACGAATATAATGATCTGTGGTAAACATGGAGTGTTTTGGCTCAGTTCAGGGTTGTGTAAGTCTCTAGTACATACACAACTGTTTTGCTGCTTCCCTTTTCTTAGAGACTTGCTAAGGTCCCACTAGCAGTTGGGGAGTTTGCATGTGAACAAGCTAGAAACTGCAGAGTGATTTTTTTCAAGATCCTATCATTACATCTCCTACTTTAGAAAGAGGCCAAATTTTTCTGAAAGTTTGAATTGTTTGCATTTTATCTTTCATATTAATTCTTTTTCATCACGCTTGGAAGTGTCTCTGTGTGTGTGTGTGTGTGTGTGTGTTTAGGATTTTTTTTAAATTCATTTTATATAAATTCCTTGTAAACCTGAACTCTCCAAAAGAAAATAATCAATTTACAGGGTGTGCTCTGATAGCATAATCAAACTTCTCTTAATGAATGTTACCACATGTATGGAACAGTAGAGATATTTTGTCTCAAAGTAAATAAAACATAGTATTTGGTTATGTTAAATATACACAATTACCTTCAGTGTTTATGTAACGAACTTGGAATACTGTATTTTAGTGACATCAAAGTAAGCCGTACTTGTCTTCCTTAAGCATGAAGCAGGCTGAAGAAGGACCTCGCACAACCCTCTTGCTTTTCTTAGAGCAGTCTTTAAATGTTTCCATAGTTATTTTATTTCAATAGTCACAACTGTAGGGTAAAGTATCAGTATGAGAAGCAGCTATAGGTTTTGCCACATTCCTTTCAGCTGATGTATAGCTACCATTAACTCTTTCTGATGCTGTGATTGCACTTTTATGTTGACTGGCAAAATTCATTTAGTGCCCATTCTCATCAAGGTACTGAGGTACATTTTCTGTCCCCAGAGATTAATACAGGACAAATGACAAACGTTTTTGACACCTGTATGCTTTCTTTCCTCCTCCGTGCTATTCATAATAATGACTGCGTGCTATGCCTGCCTATCAGTGATTATAAAAGTATCTCCTGGGTACTTACAGTTCTGAGTGCAGTTTGAAACTGTGACTCAGCTTCATATACTGTGATTCAGGTGGCTTATTGATTCCTAAACACAGTCAGACTGATTTTTGTGTATTATTTTTATTTACCAAGTATACCTCATTGCATTCTGTCTTCCTGAACTATGTATAGTGTTTCTGAATGACTGATATACTAGTTTGGCCTTTATAAATACTGAGATGTTCACTATGCAATATAAATGCAGTTTTTATCTCAAAGTGTTTCTACTCATCAGTTTTCTGGGAATATATGTTGGTCATTGTGAATGGAATCATTGTGTTTGTTTTTTCAATGCAATTCTGAAACTGGATAAATGCTGTAAATAGAGTTTTGAGGAATTGCAGTAATTTCAATTTGAACTTGTGTTTTTACAATTATAATACCAGAAAACGATGCATATAGTTCTGTTCTCTAGCAATATTTGTTCTGTCTCCACCCTGAGAGAAGGTGTATAGATTTCTGAATTTGTACACATGTATAATTATGCAAGCTAAATGCTCAGTTATAAAATTATATTCTGAAAAGAATAAGTCATTTGTCTTTAATAAAACACTTTTTAAGAGTCTCTGATAAGTATTCTTTTTTTCTTGACAGTCTGTGGTGGACGACTGGATTGAATCATATAAACAAGACAGGGACATAGCACTTCTGGATTTAATCAACTTCTTTATCCAGTGTTCAGGATGTCGAGGTACAGAACGTTGGAAACAAGTTGTATAGAATAAATCTGACAGTCATACAAACATGTGTATTAGTGCAAATGCTGGTAAAGATGTGGGAGACACATGGATTGGTACTGCTCGTATGCATGGTTTATTTAGAAATATTGTCTACATTCAAGAATAATTTTATTTAAAGCTTGTTTGTCAAGGGCCTAGTCTTTCTTTTTCCTGTCATCATCCTAAAGTGTACAAATCCTCACAGAGACAATCTGCTCGTCAGCAAAAGGAGATGAAAGATCTTTAAATCAAGGTAGGCGTATCTTTACTTCCCCTTTCTGTTTCTTCCCCGTTTTTTTTATCACAAGAATTAGTAGGTGTAGCTATACCTTAATTTTGCTATTTTTTTTCTTTCTTTCTAGGAAAAAGCTTTTTTTTAACTGAAGAGGAAGGAGTCAGGCTTCAGCTGACTTCAATTAGCAAGAAAGATTTCTTTTGGATGAAGCACCAATCTTATTTCTTTCTCTGTAATACTTTACCAACTCACCAGCAAGTGGCCTGCCTTTTATACCCTATTTAAGCAGTCTCCCTTACCAGACATGCTGCAGTCAGTCTTTCTAGCATTCTGTTGCCACACTATACCTTCTAATGAATTTTTCATGTGTTGTCTTTTTTCACTTAACTCAACCTGGAAAAGAGAGGAAGACAGAGCTCTTCTCTCTCTGTAGTGCCCAGAACCAAACTATATACTGTTTCATGAAGCTTCATATAATATGCTTTGTGTAGAGTTGAAAATAACCCACAATTCAGAAATTCTTTTCTTCAGTTTGTAACTCATATGGGAATATATCTTTAGACATCAAATGATTTGGGTAGGAGTCCCCTTTCTTCATTGTTAAGTATAAGGTGAAGTTGCAGATATGGTTAAAAGTATTGGAGAAAAGAAATATGAGCTGTCAGTCAGCAGCTGCAGCAACTCTTTTTCATAGGTTAAGGAAATCAACTTTGTGAGTGATAGAAAGACTGAAGCTCTGGAAGTGTTCTGTGAAAGGGCTGAAGCTTAGGGCTTAAATCACCAGCCTGTGTCAATGTCTGTACTGTTCACACAGATTCCCTAAAATATTTTTCAGACTTGTTTGGCAGCTTATGTGAAAGTAGTTCCATTCTGTTTGCTTTTTTCTAACGCTCTTGTAAAGGTGTATATAAAAAAGAATCCCACAAGCTTCTTTCTAAGAAATTGGGCAACATTAAACCGAAGTGATCCTTGGCCATATGTTTTTATTCTTGTTGATGGAGGCATGTCATAAATATCTTCATTCCCCTGCTGCTCTCTAATTTCTACTTCGTTTCTTTCTTTCTGTTAGAGAAAGCAGCACTCTTACAATCTCAGAAGATTTGTATTTTTTAAACTTCTTTTTACTGACTGATGCAGGCTGAGTGCCCGCTGTCAACCATATGCTGCTGAAGCAATTGCTTCCCAGAAAAGCTTTCTGTTATTGGCTGTGAAGCAGCAGCGCTTCAAGTGGCTGATGTAATTTACTTTCTTTTCTTTTTTTTTTTTTTTAAAATGTTGAGCTGTTTCTCTGCTGAGCTTGCCTCAGTGGCCTTCTGGTCCTGCACAACAACGATAGGAGAAAGGAAGCAAAAATTATTTATCCCCCGAGTTTATGGTGTGCTTGGGGGATTTATTTCTGTGTTGGAATTTTTGCAGTGAATACAGTAACAGCTGTAAAACAGGGTTAAAATCCTGGCAAACAATTCTTTTCTTTGCCATTTCCATTAACATGCCTGTCTTCTAGAATAAGTAAAAACTTCATCAGAAGAGAGTGGATTTTATTGATAGTCCACTTAAGGTAAAATGCGTACTAAGCTGTCCTTAATGGAAATGAGGTGTGGAAGTTTGGGGCATTCTGTATTTTTTGTGAAAGACCAAGTTTCTTTCTCATGTAAAGATTGTGTGCTCTATTATGAGATTTTTATTTCCCTTTAAAGTTTTGTTAATGTTCTTGTTTGTTTTAATTTCTGATAAATAACAGCTCCTTCTGAATCTCAGTGGCTCCTTTATCTTTAATATTCCTTAATTTTCTTCTTTTCAGTTTGTTTCACTAACATTGTCTTGGATTCTCCAGCCTTCTTTCCCAATGTTGGATCTAAATGCTTACTGATAATATATCAAACATTGTAATATTTAACTTGAAGGGAGGAGGACAACTAACTTGGGAGGATGTTTCTCAGGAAATTTTGAAAGTGTTGCTAGATTAATAAATCTAGCATTTTAACAGTGCTTAGAGTTATTTGGTATCTAAATATATGTAAAATACACTTAGCTTGACATTTCTTCCAAAAGTTTTAAGCAGATGAAAAGTCTGTGCCTATTTTCTGACTTTAATTAGAAGTCATTTAGGCACCAAACTGTTTTATTTAGCAATGGTATTACCCTGGCAAAAATATCTTTCTGTTTAGAGAAATATTGATTTTTATATATTTATCCCATCCATTTGGGCCGCGCATACACTTGAATGATTCTGCTAGAATCCTCCAGCTTTCCTTAGAGATTTTCCTGAAATGAGAAGTAATATCTTGTAAATACAAATAAGGAGACATGTTATGTAAATTATTAATACCAAAAAATTGTAAAATCAATGGAATTTAAAGGCAAACTTAAAAGATCTGTGCAACTTAAAACTGAATAAATATAAACCAAACATTCAAGCATGTCTGTCCTTTGTCAACTCTTCTGAGTATCTATTTAATCAGTTACTTTCTATATAATGTGTTCTGGTTCATACAATAATGTCTATTAAAACATGCAAGATTTGGTTTTAGCATGACTTCAGTAATCTTTCCGGGTTTTTAAAGATCATTTGTTATAAATTAGAAGTTTGTCCTACTGAACTGCCAAAAGCATCTCAGTTCAATAATTAGATTTACATGGGAGTTAAAATCGCTTTTCACGCCATCTTTCCACTAGGTTGCCTGCTCAATCTGTACATTTGTTGCCTTTTCTGATTTTGATTATAAAGAAGTGAAAATAGTTTATTAAAAAATTTTTATTTTATCTTGCTGTTTTTTCCTTCAAGAATACCAACAAAAATTCCTGTCTTTCTCAGTTTATGCAGTCTTCTCCACGATGTTATATTGTGATTTTATGGCAGAGAAATGGTTAACCTACCCTTTTAAATGCATTGCTCCTTCTAGACGGAGGATCTTGTATCAGTACCTTAGAAAGATGAAAAAGTTATTTTTAAAATAATATTAAAATATAAATATTTTTCCTCTTGGAAAAACAGCAAATAAATACTGTTTTCAGTCCTTGAAAAAATCAGGTTTGTTTGTTGGTAGTAGGTATTTATTTTCCACAGTATTCACAATGTGTAAAGCAGGTGGTGGTGTATTTAACTTCTTACTTCTCTGTCAGGAACTTAATTTAGGATTTTGCATTTTTAGATAACAGGGAACTTTTAAATTAGGTTGTCATAATGATAAAATGATTTTTTAAAAATAACTTTCACTTGACTGAGAGTGGAAGTGTATCAAGACTACTGATTGCCATTTCAAATGTTGTAGTTTGGTCTGTAGCATTGTGGATACAGGCATCTTTCTCTCTTGCAGAAGACTTGCAGATCAGTGTTCACAGTTTTCTGGGGTTTTTTGAGAGCTCTTTTCTATTGCTTTCGTCTTTGTAGGAACACGTTTTTGATATTTTCCTTTTTTCTTTTCTTTTTTTGAGCACTTATGTAAAGCACAGCATAGTATGCTGAGATCTCTGAGCTAGTTGTAAGCAAGCTGAAATGTCTAATCAGCAATATGCGTGTACAGGTCCCAGAAGGATTATAACTGTGTCAGTATGATGCTGCATCTGGGCTAATTACTCAGTCTGAGAGGCAGAGCTAATTAGCTCAGGTATCATGCTCCGCTGCTATGACAACCAGGCTGTTTCCATTTCTGGAGCTCTGTGGATTTCAAGCTGACTTGGGTATCTGCATTGCTGTCTGTTTTTTCCTTCTGTTATTGATATAAAACAAACAGAAAACCCCACAAGCACTCTGACCCTCTACATTTTAAAGGCAGAGAGCCATGGTTGTGGAATAATTTTTTTTTTTTTTCTTCCTAACCAGAAACAATTAGTGGTTGAAACAGCCTATTAAGCTGTGAAGGACAAACCAACCCATTGAGTCCATCTAAGAAAAAAAGCTTTCTGTTGCGGGGGGAAACGGTATCTCCATAGCTGAAGAGGAGAGCCTCTTGACTACTTGCAAGTATATAGTGAAATTATTCCCTTTCTTACTCTCCCACTCCTCTTCTTCCCTTCCATTTATTTTCTGATAGGTAAGCCAGAAACCTGTACATTCTTAAGAAGATTTTGAGATGTGATTTGAGTACTGCTTCTGCTACTAGCCTTACCTCTGTCAAACAGCTCTGAGACACCAGGTACTGATGGAAGAAAACTGGTGAAACTCCCCTATGGTTAAATTCTCAGCAGTGTTGTAGCCTTCTCTGGATTGTAAGGGGCTCTCCTTTTAAGTGGTTTAGTGACTTGGCACACTGAAGTTTTTAGGAGTAGTTGGGGAAGGAGGCAGGTGAATTTTCTTTATATGCTGTTTCTCATATCTTATTCTTCCCCTCAAAATCTTCTCTTTAGGTTATTGTGTGGAAGCAAACGTTAATGAATGTTCAAACTGGCAACTGTCAACCTTGATTGCTGGTGGTGTTTAGCATTGGGTTTTTTAGTTATGAGTAAGCAGGAATCTTTGTATGAACTTTTTTGCCCAGTACTTAAAGCAGGACATGGTTATGGAATTTTTCGATGTGAATCAGTCACTTAGGCAACCACACTGTTCCAGCTTGAGCCTTGTGGTTGTTCCTCACCTATTCTAGTAAGATCCTCTGAAAAATTCTGTGATTGAATCGTGCAAACTGAGTCAACAAGTGCAGGAGTTCTGGGTTAGCTTGCTTGAATGACGGATGCGTGCTCATTTTGATTTTTATTAATGATCTGTGCTCTTAATTAAGGACAAGCTAATAGATCTTT